CGCCCGGCGCAGAGCGTGGCAGGTGCCTGAGGGGAGGAAGCCGCGCCGAGGGGCCCCTGGGGGCGTCCGTGGCCCCCTGGCCCCTTCACCCGCTGCGGCCGGACCTGGCATCTTCCCCCGAGTCCTGGCAGACTCAACTCTTCCCCATTACGCCGGTGCACACGCCGCCGAGGTGGGTGACATTCCGGCCGGAATGAGGGGTCTGACACCTGGCTGCGCCGTGACCCCTGAGGCGCCAGGACCCCCACAGGGGGTGAGGGGGGTGCGGCCGAGCGCTGGCCCATCTCTCGGGCAGCGCCGAGCACAGGAGGCCCAGAACAGGCAGCTGCGCGGGGCTCTGTGGAGAGGGCTCACGCGGGCTCGCGGAACCTGCGGAGTCGGGGCCCCCGGGGCGCAGGGGGGTGTCTCTGCCTGTGGAGCATCCCAGCGGCCCGAGTCCATCTCCGGGCAGGGAGGGGCCCCAGGGTGCCCAGACCCCCGTCTCCTGCTGCACCCTCAGCCGCGGGTCTCATTGCATCCGGCTGTTCTGCTCCCCACCTGTGTCTGGGGGGCCCTCGCCCCCACCTCTGGCTGCACCCCAGCTCTTGTATATAAAGTAAAATCCAGAAAGCACCTTCCGGCCAGGCGCTGGCTGGCCTCGCTCCTCCCGGGACCTGCCTGCCTGCCCGGAGCTTCAGACCCGGGCCGGTCTGAGCGTTTCGGGGCGCAGAGGGCGCCTGGGGCCCCCATGCTGTGTTCCTGGCGGTGATGGCGCCACTGAGAAACGCACACCCAGCCCTGTCTGCTTCCGCAGAGAGTCCTGCAGGGGGACATCCGGCTGCAGGCCGGCCGCGGGGGGGCTCAGCGCCCTGGGGGGGCGCCCCGCTGTGCAGGCCCTCGCTCTGCGAGTCACCCCGGGGGGCCCCAGGAGAGCCACTTACTTTCCCTGCTGTGCTCATGCTGCTGCTCGCTGCTGGCTGGCGGTGGACTCTGGCCGCCCCCATATAAGGCGGCCCCGCCCCCCACGTGACGCCCGGTCCGGGCCTCCGAGTCCAACGGGGAGGCGCTGCCCGTGGGGGTGGGGGCCCCCCCGCAGCGCCGCCCTTGCCACCACATTCCGCCACCTCCCCAGCCGCTGACTGCCAGCCTCCGCTCGGCCCGGTCCGGCCGCCCCGTCCTGCCTCGCCCGTCCTGTGCCCTTGGGCCGGGGGTGGGGGCGGCAGGAGGGAAGGTCAGAGTGCTGGGCCGGGGCCAGAGATGCT